TCTCGCCGCCGTGGGACTAACACAGAGACAAGAGAGAGACATTACGTTTCGCCATAGCCGCACGGCTAAAATACCCACATTGGCACAATCACTTTGTTTCTCGCTAGCCTGGTTCTAGATTTCTTCTCTTGATTCTGGGTGCGTGGATTTGCGTGTTGCCCGCCCATACCTCATACGGCCCACCAAACGCCCGTTCCATGGCACCCAACTTGATGTGATGAATCTTGTATGTACTTCCGCGACACAGTGCAGCCTTTTTTTTTTCTCGCAAGTTCTGAGATCCTCAAATGCATGCGGTAGCCTAGCTTTGCCAATGATCCTGGCCCGACGCGTGGGTATTCGAATCGTGGGATGCGCGGGAACTGCACCGTGACGTCGCCTATCTGCTCACCACACATCACCCATCCAACATCCCACCCTCCCAAGCCAAAAGCCGTTGACGGATTGACTGCATGCCTGCCGTGGTTCTGGGCTCTCGCCAGTCCAGCTCACACGTCGATCCCTCCCGAAGCACCGGGGCCTGCTCAGAGAGAGGGAAAAAGAGAGACTTCTATCTGCATGCGTGTATCATCGTGCTTGCGCCAGCGACCTGGGCTGGGCTGACCCGTGGTCTGGATTGTGTCAGCCGAGATATCCAACCGAGCCCGAGCTGCATGCAGGGTCTGACAAGGATTTGACGAGAGAGATGCTATGCTCGCCAAAAAGAAAGGCAGAATGGAAGACGTGCATCTCTGATGATGATGCCTTGCTTTTTTTCGCACGCAAGGGAGATCGGTGGGCTACGCGACCTTGGACGGTAGCTTTGTTGGCGCTGCTGTCGACATTGCGTGAGTTGCTCGCCTTGCTTGACTGGAGGACCAGCCACATCCTGGGTGCAGTTTGAAAGAGCATCATGCGGGATATAGCGAAGCTATTGGTGCCGCTGCTGGTATGTCGTTGCAGTAAGCCGCGATTATTTTGTTGGTGGATGAGGTCACACAGTACAGTTTATCCTACGCTGAGGTATCATTCGATCCCACAGTAAGGGTTGCTATCACCACGAGCGAAGTGCCGGAAGTTTCTGTGGTGAAGCAACGGCGGCTCTTTTCCCTTGGTGAATCATTTTGAAAGCCCGTATGCGATACCAGCTAAGTTCTGGACGTAAAGGTACCAGGTTTACAACTCAACAGGCTTTTTTCGAGTAATTTCATGTGCATCAAGCCAGTAATTCGACATTGAGAAAAATCACCAACCCGCCACGTCTGCCTCGAGATAAACTTTTGCAACACAAGACATTTCCCGCAATTCATTTGCCTGGGAAATAGAATGTGTTCAGCCTCTGCGTGCGGCATCGGCCCGTTGTCTCATTGCCATGGTGAAAGGCCGGTACCGGCTGAAGAAGCAAACGGGGAGGCGGAACCGGAGAAATAACGCAGATGAAAAAGCAACGAAGATATCGGAACTCCGCCAAGCATGTATGTAAACATCGAGGCTTGTGATATACAAGCTGAATCACAGACTGTCTCGGCTGTTTATCCTCAGGTTTGTCTCGACTTGAAATCACCGTGTGTTAGACCGGGGAACTCGTCCGTCCGAAAGAACGTAGTCGGAAATAGACTCTGCTATCGTTAGAGCAATAGGCTGAGATTTCTTACTCGGCCGCACACGTTGGAAGTTGCAGATCAGCAGGGAAACGCATAGCTCCATTTGACGGTCTCATCCAGCGCAGTGATCACCGTGTTTTTGATCAGAATCAATGCCAAGAATGGCCCAAGAAGATAGCCGACTCTCAGAAGGCTCCTTCGGTTGAAGCATGATTTGACAATATGAACGTCTGCAAGCCTATGCCGACAGGGTGACCATCCGACATTGTTCAGCCTTGACTCACGTTCATCGTTGTAAACAACTTGTCGGTCGATAACAAGGAGCATGATGCTTCATTTAGGCTTCATTGATAGTCTTACAATGTCGACTGCACCTTGTGCGGTTCAGAACACGCTGACCGTGGGCTTCCACACCTTGCGACTATGGGTAAACAACCACAGGCTTACTGGGCTTTCGCTGGATCTGACCCTGCGCTCAAGTTACAACCGGGAGCGTTCTGGCCTTGCGCCATGGAGAGAATTCTCAGCATAGGAGCAACCTATTGTGCCGGTCGTCATCAGTTTCTGTCATGTATTCTTGTTATTTAGTCCAGCAAAATTGCGCCCAGGCCACGAAGTAACATGAATGGCCAGCATTCACTATAGAGACAGGTCTGAGATCTTGCACTTGATTCTGTCTTCGAGTGCACCGAAGCACTAATTGGAGCGTGCGTTACTTCTATACAAGTAGATATGGTGTGTCTCTATATACTATTCCCAATGGTGAAGCCTGATGGTTATCGACCAACACCGACGTGAATATCGGGACATCAAGAGAACATTGTTGCTGCAACTGTTTTGATTACGGAACAGCGACTCAAACACGCAGATTTCTAGGCTTCTTTGTTTCCGGGGAATGACGGACGCTGTGAGTTGCAAACCCGGGTAGCTCGTCTCCATCAACAAAGTCTTCTGGGAAGTGACACCGCCCAGCAAAAGGCTCATGCTTCGATCGGCACATGTAACATATATTCTTGCCCAATCAACTGGTTAGCAGTCGATGTTTGCCCGAAATTCGTCCTGTGGACTGATTGACATTGAAGGCGCTGCCATCCCCCGTAAACCCAAGGACACAAGCATGTAACTGCATTCGCTTATCTCCGGTTCCTGCTAAGACAATGTTGTCTCCGAAACACCCCCTGATTGTTATGTCGCATACACTAAATAGAGAGACACCAGAAGATACCTGGTTGGTATGAAAACCTGACCAACGGGGCTTTGCGGGAGTCAAGTCCATGCTGTACATGCCTTCGGGACATTATGCTTGCATGAGACCAAGGGAAAAAACGACAATCACTGCAAACTATCATCATCATGAGTTCCATCAAGTAGTAACTGGTGATCATACGGTAATATTAATATTTAACATCGTTCACGCCAGCGTCTGGCAGCCCCCTCCCTCGTCCTACAGCACACGCAACTCTCAAAAGGGTTTAATAAACCAATATAGCTGCCATCAAATGCATCATAAGTTTTCGAGCAATTCAACTCTTTCTCTCCAGTGTCTGCGATGAAACTCAGCGCATAAGACGCTGTTCTCTAGTTCAACGCTGAAAATGAGCTTCATGCACATGTGCCGCAAATTTCACAGAGTAGGGCTGCGGCGTCCTCCTATTTTGTCGTCCTATGACCTTGAATACTCTCAGATATAGGATTTAAGACGGAAATTGGGGTTTTCAGGGAGCTCTGTTACTCAAGAAGTCGAAAAATTTTAGGTCCGATATCGTCTAACGCATTAGACTGTTGTGGCTTCCGCCGTGATCAACGATACCCATTTGGTTCCATTCGAGAAGCTACACACAAAACGGCACCCAGGTATACATGGCCAGAAGTATGTCGGAAGTGGTTGCGGCCTACGTTCCCGAGGCCATTCTCCATGCTTCTTATGCGGTTGACCATCGGCGTCTGATATCTCTCGCGAGATCAATTCTACAAATCCATTCGCAGAACGACCATTCTCCTCATTCGTATCATGAATATAAGAAGACTGTCATTATAGAAGTGAATAGCAATCTTCGATGACTTGTCTTCCGCACTGGGCGTGGCTATTACATATTTGACCTGTAGCCAGAATGTCCAACTTGGGCGAACTGACGTTTGACCTGCGACTACACGGAACAGCATGTGGGGAAAGTAGCATCACTCCTCACGTATCCCGCTGTAAATAGCCCATGATAACCAGAGACAGTCACCTCAGGAGTCCCGGATCAATGTTACTAGGCTCGACATGCGCCTCGGAGCATATTGTGAATCCACACCGCCAGAAGCTATCGAGGAAAAGAGAAACCTGGCACTACAAACAGATCATCTATAGATCAACGACTAGCTATCAGATTCGCACCTTTTATAGTCCACCATGTGTCCGAATAGCCGAGCTACATCGCCAAAACTCATTAACAATACGGCACTATCGAAAGGGGCAGCTCGATGACAGATAGACCGAGCAACAGGAAGAACGAAACAACACGAAATCTTGCTCGCTGAGTCTTCACGAACTGAATACTCAGTAGCAAAGTGAGTGACAACAAAGTGCTGAAAAACAACACGAAAGCCCACCAAGATCCCAACTCACGTCCTTTGCCGGGTATGATTTCCTTGGATATTGTTTCGGTCCCAACTGTAACGGGTCATCATTGTTAACAGCCCAAATCTAAACGCTTCTGATACTGAGTTATTATATGTAGCCTTTAACGTAGACAGGCCGTGGGTGGACTTACAGGGGGTCGGGCATGAGTGGCATGATTAATACGGCATTGGGGCTATACACGTTGAAGTTGAGCACTCACCTGCTCAAGGTTTCCAGTTTTTGCTATGAAACCGAGCCATGGTTCTTGATAGTCGCTTTCGAGCTGTTGATAATATCTGTTCTCACACCATACTTACACTGCCGAAAAACGACGAGAATCGCAGGTACTGATGCCCAATACAACAACCAGACCTAAAACACGGCAATTTGTGCACCCAGAGTATTAAGGAACAAATGGCTTTGACTCACCACAACTCCCTTGCAGGCGTGGCAAGCGGATTTTACATTTGGCATGTCACCGGTTTCGATCTGCTCGGTATCGAAATGCTTCAACTAAAACTGTGCCACAGGACCTCTCTTTACTCCATAAACCGTCGGGGTATAGTATTGTTACAAGCGTAGCAGCGGTAGAGCATCCTAAGCCCGAGTCGAAAAGCAAGAAGATGTGCGAAAAAAGCAAATTGAGTGACCCGCCAAGTTTTTGACCCCCACCGACCTTCTCGGTGTGTCTGTCCCTTTCCAACCCTCGTCATCAAAGCGTCTCTGTGCGACCTCGCCATTGGCGAAATATCGTGTCTCATGACATGAGAGACATCATACCATTCCTCCCCTCTGTGTGACCAGCCCGTGATTTACCGCCACAAGTCCGCAGACTTCTTCTCATTGTTGGCCGTGCTCGGTCTCGGCCAGTAGTCCTCGTCACTTCCCTTGCTTCCGCCTGTGCTCTGGCTGGGGATGGCCATGAACATACCCGCCCCGTTGCCCACCATAACGCTCTTTCTCGCCGCGGCGGTGTTCCACCCAGAACCTGCAATGTCCGCACCGAGGCCATAGGAACTAATCGGCCGGTCGCCATGTGCGCTCATGCTGCCGCCTCGGCGATGGCCACTAACCGGGGCCGTTGGCTGAAGCATCACTGAGGACCAGTCGAGGGCGTCGTCTGCCTTGCAGTAGATGGTCAAAGGATGGGAGAGCGGACCGGTTCCAGCGAAAGGATTCGTCGAGCTAAAACGTTGTGACGCGCGGACGTTGGAGGCCGCAGCAAAGGGCCGGGGAATTGCCATACCACCGCTATTGGGAGGAGCAAGGCCGCCGCGGCCGCCGCTGGGCATGCCCGACATGGGCCGGTGGGATGTGACCGAATGGGAGGACTTAGGCCTAGCATTTCCGCCAAACGAGAATGGTGCTTGGGGCCGCGGCAGGCCCTCGAGCTCGTCCTGGAAGTACTCGTCCAAAACGTAGACATCTCTCAGGTTGGGCATACCATTGCCTCTGAGAGATGCGGCTAGATATGTGTAGTAGCTGGCAGTCACACTGGAGAAAGGTCCTGCTGACTTGGCGGCGGTGATCTCGAAGCGGAGCGACTCCAGAGAGGTTGACGCAAGCCGTCTCGTTTTCGGTCCGCTCTTGAAGGCCTCGCTCACCGCAGCCTCAATTGCAAGTGTCTGTAGGCTCTGGGCCGCAAGTAGAATTTCAGCCAACGTTGCTGGATGGACACCCGTGTTCAGCAGAGAGAGAACGGTAAGGATGTTGCGAGTGTCGGGACGGCTGAAGTACTCGACCAGACCCGCGGCGGTGACAGATGGGGTGTTGCTGAGGATCAGCTCCTCCAGGGCCGGGAATGGAGGCAAGTCCTCGTTGCGGGAGAACACGTCGTCTGAGAAAGCGTGAGAGTCCATCACCTTGAGTGCACGGAGCTTTCCAAGATTGGCCAGCGCATGCCGCAGTACGAAGGGGTCCATATTGATCTTGTGCAGCTCCAGAACCTCCAGATTCTGCCAGATACCGCCATTGGCCAGCTTGGACAAGCTGCTCTCGGAGCCTCCATGGTATGACATCTTTCGGATGTCGCGGCATCTAGCCTCGACTTCAAGTCGAAGGGTTGCATAGCCGTGCTCGTCGGAGAAAAGACCCTCGGGGAGGTCGACATAGAGAAGATTCGGGAGCACGTGGATGATGCGGGCCAGATCTGCCGTGGCAGCCTCACGGAGCATGTAGGGCACCTTGAAGTATCGAACTCTCGAGCCAAACCGGGTGGGGTCTTCACGCAGCGTCCGACAGAGCAACTTCAGGCGAACAGTTGGGGTATCTTCGGGGTCGGCATTGCGCTTGAAGAAGGTTTTCCGCTTCCGCTGCTCAGAAAGGTAGATTTCGCGGGGGCAGTAGTGAACGGCGTCGATTCGAATGCTGTGATACCTGTATGGAGACAACTATTAGCCAAAAGCCCGACATCTCAGCCTCGGGAGAAGGGGGAGGGGGGCTTGCTTACAAGGCGGCGTTGGCGACTGAGTTCCATTTCCAACTGACCCGTGCGCAGCTGGCGAGATCTCTCAAGTCGCATAGCATGCAGGCGTCGAAGATGGCGCTCGTTTCGCAGGTCTCGTAGGTCTCATCTTGGGTGTGCGGGCAGACGAAGGCGAATATGCGCGGAAGAATATCCTTTGGCAAATTTTCGAGGAGGAAGGTGGAGGCGCGGCTTGGTAAGTAGAGAGGCGAGGTGTTGTTGCGGAAGTTCTGCTGGACCTGGTTGGAGTACTTGGACAGCTGGTGGTCGGCAATGTCGTGGGACTGAGAGTGACTCTGCACGTGCTGCTTCTTCTTGTCCTTATCCTTCTTGAAGAACCTCATTTTTGGTAATGGCCGAATGGCGAACTTCATGTTGGAGGGAAAAGGAAGGGCGGCGTCGGCGCGACGAGGGTGGTATTAGGGGATTAATATATTAAATCAACGGGTCTGCAGTCGCATTTGACCGATCGGCGTCGGCGCCGGTGTTTGGTGCGATGGACTTGGGTGCGGCAGCGGGCAGTGAGCAGCGAGCGAGGCTTACGGCGGCAGGGCCAACGCTACCACGAACCAAACTCTGTAGGTCTGGTGGCCCGGTCAGCTTTTTATCTTTGTCGCCGTGTGCTCGACGGCTCTCGCTCTGCAAACGAGGGGTTTCCTGTGGTTGCCCGTCTTAAGTAGGGAGGTGGTGGTGAGGTGGTATGCGCCGTAGGACCTTCCAGGCAAAGTTCGGGCAGGCTTGCCTGCTTTTGGGGGAGGTGCCAACGGTTTTGTCTGGGATTTCCCGGTAAGTCATCGCCCCCAAAAATGGCAGGAGCCATGCGTGCCCCCTTTTTGACAAACTTCAGATGAAAAAGTCCGGATATCCGCAACCAGTAGTAGCTCTGGTTGGTACGGACACCAACCAACGTTGGTCTTGTGTGTTGCTATAAATTTCGCTCTACATGCAGGTGGGAAATCACCAAGCAAACCGAACAAAGATGGAGGGCCATTGGAACAAAGGCTCGAGCGATGCGACCGCGGGAAGCGGCTACCAGGGGAACTTTTAGTGGCTCCTTGGTGCAAACTAACCTCCTTGGTTCCCCCCATTCAGCTTCCTCTCCACTGCGAGGCGCCCTACACTTCTAGGGACCCCTGGGCGCAGCGGCCATCAGCGTGTGGGGAAGGAAAACGACGTTCCCCTGATTCGCTGCTCCTGTCCTGGATCCGCAGCGGCCCCTGAGTCCTGGAGCAACGAGCACGCGTCGATTCACTGCTCATCACTCTTACCCTTGGTGCCCAGCCGATCCTCTGCTCTTGAAACGAAACACCACGCCTTGCGCTGTGCTGGCGTGCTGCCTTGCGCCTCCCTCCAACCGCCCACCGATGCGTCGTGGCACCTTAAATGCTACCGTGAAATAAAGCCCAATCGGCAGGTAATGAAGTGTCATTTTGTCCACTATCTCTTCCATAAAGGAATCACCTTAAACCAATCTAATGCTCAATATGCTACTCTGCTCGTACATATCCATGTTCATCCATGCAGTCGGTCCACAAGCCCTACCCTATTCTTCTGCCTCGCCTTTCACCTCTCCATTTCTCTTAGCATCCCATTACGTCCATGTCCATATATAGAATCGTCATTTGCGACAGGCTGGCCAAGAGTCTGTGACACCCACACTCAACCATCCGGCATCGCTTTGTACATATCTCGGTTGTGACCCCTCTTCGTCCCCCGTATCACATCTTCCTGACATGAATCATGTCTCGTGGTCGTTGATGAGAAGTGTTTTGGCAATCAGTTGCCGTTGAGCTGCACTCCGTCGAGAGGGCTAGCAGGGCCCGAGGGACGCTTGGCACGGAGGGTAAGCGGGAACGGGTATTCATCGGGGTCTTCCTCCTCACTGCAAATGCTTGTTAGCCTCCTTCACGGTATGCGTAACTTGATGAGACTCACGGCAACTTCCAAGCGACATAGTCCTCGGTACTCAGTCCCTCCCTGCCCTCCTGCAAGCTGGCAAAATCACCAGGAGTCATCATGCCAGTGCGATCCCTAGGAGAGCCAGGCACAGAGAATGGCCGCGAGATCTTCTGCTCGACACCGGGGATGAAGTCCTCCTCCTCATCGCCGCTGAACGAGCCAGGGTAGGCTCGGCGCAGCGCCAATTGACGGGCCTTGACGTACTCCATTCCCATTCTCTTCCAGTCTAGCAGGTCGCTGAGACGCTCCGTACGGTTACGCTGGTTGATACGTTGGCGACGGCTCTTTTGACAGAAGTCAAACATGTGAGTGGTAAGCTGGTTTACAGAATCATCGACACCCTTCGTGCGGCGGTCGACAATGTAGATACCATAGTCGCTTGAATTCTCAATCAGCTCTTCCATGTAGCACCCGAAGCCAGACAAGTTCGTCGTGATGCTGGGAACACCCATGACGGTGCACTCAGCCGGAGTGTAACCCCACGGCTCGTAGTAGGACGCGAAAATGCCCATGTGTGTACCGCGCACAAACTCGTCATAGTCCAAGGGCAGTACCGGGTTGGCAGAGTTCAAGAACTCAGGGTGGAACACAATCTTGACACGGTCTGTAGGGTGGTTGAAGAGCTGTACCCGTCTGATCTGGTTCAGAATGGGATCTTCGCTGTCGCTGATCATGTTGTGGGTGACGATGGGGGGAAGGCCGTGACGCTTCATCGCAAACAGGCGCCTGCGGATCAGGACACGGTCCTGGCTGCTGATGAGCTCCTTCTCATCAGGCATTGGGTCACCGTCATGCCACTTGAGGGAGCGCTCGAAAATACGGCGTCCGATTCCCTTCTCGATAATATCGACGGTGTCACGCAGAGATTTGATGACAGCCTGCCCCTTGAGCGCTTCGACCGTCAACGAGGTGGTCTGGGCTGGCATGATAACAAAGGCGACAACAGTCATCTTGCTGCCGGCAACCTTGAGGCGGTGATTCAAGCGAGCCAATGACTCAATGAACATGTCAACACCCTTATTTCTGAACTCGTACCGTCCGGCGGTGAAGAAGTAAAGGGTGTTCTCGGGGTCGAAGTCATAGTGGCCGTAAAAGTGTCCGCGCACGAAATCGTGAATCTTCTCCTTGGCTTGCTGGTGCAGATTTTGGAACTCGTGCATGGCGGAAAACTTGGTGACGTTCAGTCCATTGGGCAGCACGCCGTCGGGTTTCCGCTTGAGCAAGTGCTCGCTTTCGTATGCGGTGATATGGGAGACGGTAGTGAAGACATCGCAGGCATGCGCGGCAGCGCGCTCGATGCAGTAGCGGTGGTAAATGCCACGCTTTCCGGCTTCAGCGTCAACATCGAACCATTGCAGGTTGTTGTAGAAGTCGACAGAACCAGCGCAAAGGTATCTTCCCAAAAGCGTTGCGTGCGTCGTGAAGATGGTGGTCACATCGATACGGCGCTTCTTCGTCAGGGGCAGAGCCACGCCGGCAAGCCATTCGTGGAAATGCGCAATGACGGCTTTGGTCTTCTCGTGACAGACAAACTGTGGAATTGGTCAGCTTCACCCTTGAGTTATCTGGAAGCATCTTACCTCTCCCAAAAACCAAGCGACAAGGTATCCGAAAACGACAGCTTCGTTCGTCTCATCATCATTGGGTGGCGAGGGGATGCTGGCGACGTTCCACAAGTCGGTCTTCCACTCGTCCAAGAAATGGTACGCAGTCTTGGTGTCAATGAGCAGAACTCGAGGAGCGCCATCAATGAGCCATCGACCGTAGAGGATGCCAATGCCACGGTCCCTCATGGACTGAATCGTGGCAGCAAGTTCGGGAGTGGTCGGTTCGAGCTCCTCAACCTCAACAGCAGCCTACTGCCTGTCAATACAATGTAGCTACGGCATCTAGAAGACGTTCTCTTACGGAATGGTGGTTCAAGGGACCGATGAGGGTGTAGCGGTCGCCATATTCGGCCGTGGTTACAGGAGCTTTGGACTTGATGACGGAATAGATACCGCCAACTGCACATGGCACAAATGGGTCAGCCCACTGCGGAGACGATGATCCGGGGGGTCAGGCGTGGGGATGGTACCTCGATGAGCAACCTCAGTTGCGATTTCGAAGAGAAGGTGGTTCTTGACGTCGCGAGGAGGACGATCGGGGTTGTCCCGAGTACCTTCTGGAAGAGTGGACATTGTAGAAGCTTAAGGGGGGTTGGAGATGCTGTTGACGAAGCGTCAGTTCGTGTAGATGAAGAGGAGAACAGCTTGAGAAGTGATGGCAGCGACGAAAGACGAGGGTAAAGAAAGAACGCGAAAGCTGCAGTGGAGTGGCAGAAAGCCAATTGAAGGTTGAATGACGCAAGTATGCAGGGCGTACTGACAGGCAAGGTAAGGTAACCAAGGCGACGCAGGCGAGAGGTGAAGGACGTCGGAGCTTGGGGAAGCTCCCGAGATGGCGTGCAGACGGACAAGGCTTTGATTTAAAGACAATAAGGCGTGTGGGAGATGCTGGGCGAGACAGACAACAGCGGGCTTGAGAAGGGCTGGATGGCGGAAGGAGAAGTGCAAGACAAGAGCTCTCTCGAGAGGAGATGTTTGCGGGGAAGAAAGGTTTTAGCTACGAGATTGTCTTGGGGGAGAGTGAGAGAAGGCGCGCGGGCATTGCATTGGCAGGCCTGGCCTGATGAGGTGGTGGTGTGGTTGTGGTTGGACAATCCAGTCCGGTCCAGCCCAGCTTCTCGCCGCATGTACTGTTCCGGGTACTGCGCAGTACCTTGCCTCGCTGCGACGCTAGCCCCGATACCTCTAACAGCTAGCTCCTCTCCTCTGGTATCTGGACCGGGGAGAATACGAATGGTCAGAGGGAGTAGTCAGGCAACGGAATGGCAACAGCAGCAGCTGCTGCTGCGAATAAGCTGCTCAGAGGACGTTTTCCCCGTCTCCATCTTGTCTGTTTCCTCGGAGTGCGGGTGAAGAGGGGGGGGAATACTGGAGCTGCAGCACGATTCAATGGGCAATGAATGGACGCTGGAGGGAGAGCTGGGGACGACTGTGGAACAATAACAGCGGGTATTACAGGGCCCTAGGCCTGTCTGAACTTTCAACTTTTGAAGCTACCGCTAGCGGGAATCCACAGTGAGGTGCAGTTTGGGGTGGACTTTGGTCACCCAATACCAGGGGGGTACAAGTCCAGACCACGCGCATTCTCAACAAATTCTTTTCCCATATTGCCCTCGCCGAGTCGCCGTCCGGTATCCGTACTCTCTCTCTCTCTCCACCTCCTGTTCTGCTCTGTATCTTGTGTGTGTTTGCTGACTTGCTTCTCGTCCCCTACGGCATCGCCGTGTGTGATGTTGCCGCTCTTATTCTCCGAATGCGACTCTTCATGCGCCACGAGT